GTCCGGAGATAGGAGGTAACCAAGGTATTCAACGGATGTGGTGTGGAACGCGCATTTTTTGGGTTTAGCATAGAGTCGATGTTTTCGGAGACGGAGGAGAACTTCTCGGACATGTTCCTTATGGGATGCAAGGTTTTGGGAATAGATGAGGATGTCGTCCAGATATACGATTACGCATACATCCAGCATATCAGCAAACACGCTATTGACAAAGCGTTGGAATGCGGCCGGAGCATTAGTGAGACCTTCCGGCATCACCAACCATTCATAAGAGCCATAGCGCGTTCGGAAAGCAGTCTTCCATTCGTCTCCTTCCGCTACCCGGACAAGGTGATAAGCGGATCGGAGGTCGATTTTGGTATATACTTTAGCGTGGCTCGGAGAGTCTAGAAGGTCGGTAATGAGGGGTAACGGATATCGGTCTTTCTTGGTAATCTGGTTAAGTCCACGGAAATCTACACAGAGGCGAAGGGAGCCATCCTTTTTCTTGACGAACAGGACGGGAGCTCCGTGAGGAGAGGATGAGGAACGGAGGAGTCCGGAGGAAATGTTTTCATCAAGAAACTTCCGGAGGGCTGTGAGCTCAACTGCAGATAGAGAATAAATGGTTCTGAGGGGCGGACTAGTTCCTTCCTCTAACTCGATTTTGAGATCGTAGGGACGATGAGGAGGAAGTTGGCTAGCTTTGCCTTTATCGAACACATCCAAAAATTCATGATATTCCGGAGGAATTCCGGATAGGTCTGGAGGATCGGACGAAAGGGTAGCGGACCGGAGGTCTACACCGGTCGGACGAAGGTAGATGCTGAACTGTTCCGATCCTTCCAATTTGCAGGCCCGGCAAAAGGCAACTGCATTTATCAAGGAAATATTGGGGATGGTTTTATCAGCGGAGGTTCCGGATGTAGTCGGAGGAGGTAAATCTTCCATCGGAGGAGGGGTATCCGGAGACGGAAGCGACATCGGAGGTGTCGAAGGCATTCCATGAGAAGTCGTTCGGAACTCGATGCTGCCCAAAACCCAGTCAATCAACGGATTGTGTAGGGTGAGCCAGCTATATCCTAGAACGATAAAACAAGAAGAATCCAACGGAGTAACGTAAAACGTATCGGAGGTGACTACACCGGACGGAAAACGAATGGGCAAATCTATAGCTTCGGAAATCATATTATTACAAGTACCATCAAACAAACGGAGAGAAAGCGGAGGTATCGGATATGTAGGGATTTTATTTTTTCGGACGAAATCAGAGTCTATAAAACAATGTGAGGAACCACAATCTATTAGAGAAGGAAACGAGGAAATATCAGGAAAAGTAGGAAGAGAAATGTATGGACATAGAGAGTTCGGATCGGAAAGAGAAACAGCGTTGAGACGTAGCTCCGTTGCACGGGTAGAGTCAACGCAACCCTCATCCCGTGCGGAGTCAGGAGGGTTGCGGACTATTTTTTTGCTTCATCCGAAGCCTCCGGTTTGTCTTCCGGAGTGACTACTGCAGCACGGCCTTTGGCAGCGCGCGAAGTAGACTTGGTGCATTCCCGAGCCGAATGGCCGGGTCCGCCGCAGAATAGACAGAGTTTATTATCCATCCGTCTCTTATGTTCTTCGGACGTGAGCTTTCCGTCCTTTCCTAACTTGGAGGTAAGGTCCGGAGCTTTAGAGGCGGAGGAGGATGCGGAAGTAGCGGGTTTGTCGGATTTGAATCTCGCGGATCCGGACGGGTTGGAATTCGTCTGGTCCGAAGTGGGTTGCTTAGGTGGATTGGAGGTGGTGGGTTTGGTTTCGCGGGCAACTTCTCCCTTCCGTTCCCAGTATCGTGCGTCGATAGTCTGGGCAAGGGTCTTGTATTCGGAAAGGGTAGAAGGCTTACCCATGCGACTGATTTCATCTTTGATACGAGCCGGAAGTCCGTTATAGAATTGGCGTCTTAGGGCACCGTCACCCCAGCCACGGACTTGTGAAGCAAGACGCTGAAACTCAACAACATATTTATTAATGTGTTGTCCGTCACGCATGTGAAGTTGTTCGAGTTGTTGTTCCGCGTCACCGGACGGATCGTGAGGTCCGAAATTGGTTTGTAATTCTAACATGAACGCGGAGTAATCATCCATCCAATCCGGACGATCATCGTCCTCGTCGGATAGGAGGTCCGGTTCGAACCACTCGAGTGCCATACCCTTAAGGTAGGATTGGGCAAAGTTGACTTTAGCCCGTCCAGTACAGAAAGACTTGGGTTTGCTTTGGAAATGAAGCTCGCATTGGACGAAGAATGCACGAAGCTTCCGAGGCTCAGTGCCATCGAAAGTATCGGGTTCGCGGATCTTGACTTTGGAATCTTCGGACGAGATGGGACGACGGTTGTTGTGTGCGAGATTGTCAATGGCTTCGGAAAGCCGGAGCATGATGCGGTCTTGTGGGTTTAGTCCGTCATTTTCGTCGTCATCGTCCGGATCATCATCCGGATTACCTCCGAAATCATCTGGAGGGTCTTCATCATCGGGTCCTTCATCATCCGGAGGTCCTCCAGCGGCAGTACGCGTTGACATGCACAAAACTTGTTTTGTACATGAACATGGCAAATATTTAGCTGTAGTACTCTTTATAATAGCCCATGATGCTATCTAGAATTTTCTGTGTAGCACCCATATTTTATTTGAGTAATTTCGGATTCAAAAATGAGTGCATCACTACTTAACATTCAGAATAATACTTATCCTTATGAAAGATCGGTTTCAAACGCACAATTCTTCACTTAGTCAGCAATTTCTCACACTTCCTATAATTTTCTCACACATTTTCACATGTTCTGGAACATACTTTGTGACATATCCTGACATCATATTACATAATTGGTATGTTTTGTGTCACATCTTGAACATGTTCGCTTTTACGCGAGCCTCTTGTTTTTCACAATACTCAGAGGAAAGACCTGAAAGACTTCATACCTCATTACATAATCGGACTCATGTGACTTGGTGACACATTAGGAAACCATGCAGAGACTTCATTAAATATGCAAGACCAACACTGTGGTATTTAACAAGTTAACATTAGACTGCAAGAATTCCAACAAAGTTTGAACACAGCTTTGGAGTACAGCATTCAGGCAGTGCAGAGGCAGTGTACACAGCTTGCTAGCACAGGTTAGCATAGCCACAGAGCACAGTCACTAAATGTTGATTTGAAAGCAATACTGGAATTTGGTAGAATAATCTGGAACATTCTATGGCATTCTTTGACACTTTAGTAGTAGATTAGTAATCAGTAGCACAGCCACTAGTAGAGTAGTATATAAGGGGCCCATTTTCCCTTTTAATAAAGAGAGCTCCCATCTCAGAGCCCATTTCCAAGTACCATCTAAGTTTGAGAGTGAAAGAGTGAGTGAAAGAAGAAGAGTGACCATAAGGCTCTTTTTAGATTCTCACTTCAAAGATTACTGAGTGACACACTGAGTGAAATATTAGCTTATTTCATTCCACTTTTTGACACTGTTTCCCACGACATACAGAGGCATAATTGAGGCCACCATTGAGCCATACATTTTACACTAGCTGGTACACGGTTATCAGTCATCTAGTGCAGATATATTCCAGTTCTCTTTCAGACACAGGAAGTCAATTCTGTGGGGAGAATATACATATTTTCATTAGCAAGGGAAGACAAATAAGACTAACAGTCAGTCACTAATATTAAGAACTTGGCCCACTTAAGACTACATCAATAGGGTGTACTCTGTTCTGTCCTGCGTCAAACTCATCATGTAGTGCCTGAGCAGCAGAGAGTAGGTTTCGAAGTCACGTATTAGTTCGGGCTGATCCGTGTTAGAGGCTTAGTTTGATCTCCAATTGGTTTGTGAAGATAGGGAGTATTGTTATAGCTCTGAGAATCATCGCATAAGACATACATCTGTATTCGTTGAAGTCATAGCACTGCATCGCGCCAGTTATTGACTTTCTTTAGGATCATAGCACTGCATCAAGCCAGTTACTGATTCTGTTTCCCCCTCTTTTTAGTCACTGAGTACTTCCTTTGAAAACTCAACACACTTTTTCCCACGAACGACCACGTTATCGACTGTTGGTATTTGTCTGAACTGTTGACCGTGGTAGGATACTGAAAATTGGTGAATTTTACTGTTTTCACATCCTAGTAAGACAGCGTAGGCGTAGGAGTCACCGGATGCGGATGATTCAAGAATTGAGAAATACTTTGAGCAGGAACGCTTGAGACACGGCGCTGCGAGAAACTGGTGAAGGCGTTAACTATGGAGGTTGGATCGCGTCGGCTGGATGAGAGTCCGACTGTGTGCAGAGCGGCTTGGTTTACTTTAGTAGGAGCCATGATATGAGTAAGTGTACTTGGAAAGGTGTGAGTTCGAATATACTGTTAAGGTTGTACTCTCGTAGGATCGGATCCGAAGGACTTCGGCCTCAGCTCGTACGCTGTGCCCCTTTCCCAAGTACTGTCCCTTATTTCAGAGACTAACGATAATGCGTCCGAAGGTCCGGACGGGTCTCGTAGTTATATCCGGATGACTTCCGGATATCGGAAACACGTATAAGACTAATCCGGACGGATCCGGATTAGAAACAAACAGAGTATAGACTATCCGAAGATAGAGGCAGAGACGTAGACTATCAGAATCGATCCGAAGTCTCAGAGATCGACAAGAGTTGATTAGACTCAAAGTCCGGAGGACAGAAAGAGGACAAACTAAGATGATATTCGAACTGAGGTACTACAGGAAATATACACGGGTTTATATACTAAGAGGATAACGGAAGGATCAATAAGCAAAGGTCCGAGGCTATGTACGAAGCATATGCAAAGCTTATCAAACGCGAGTCGGAAATGAAGCATAGGATAACGGATCAGTAATCATACCGGTAATAAGTATAACCGAGACACCGGGAAGAGGAAATACCGAATAGGCTGTGTTTAACGTTATATGAACAAGAAATGAATTAAGAAGCTTATCGGATATCGGACCGGACGCGGATCTATGCATCGGACCGGACCGGATCTAAGGGTCCGAAGTCCGGAAGAGAAGCATGAATATATGGGATATGACAGGCTGCTTCAAGGGTGATTTCAGTGATATCAAACTCTAAACAAGACTTGAAGGGACACCAAGGTTGGGTATCAGGTTCAGGAGCGGACCATGAGGAGTAATGGGCTGGATGGCGCTTGAAATCACCAAACACATGAACTTTTGTTGGGATCCCGCTATTGGGGTGATGTTTGACTTTGATATCATTGACCTGGAATTCACAATATTTGAGGTCTCCATTGTCACCAGGGGAAAATGGCAGATCTTCTAACATTCACATTAATGATACACAATTAAGAAAAGTTAAAGGAATCATGTCAGAACTCACTGAAAATAGGGTCTGGATGATTGATGCCATGAGAACTTGTCAAAGACGAGCCTGTTGTGACTGATTGATAAACAGATAAGTGAAATAGATGCAATAATATATGACACAAAGGATGAAACTTACCCTGTGTGTGATTTGGAAGCACATTGATGTTTGGATCTACAGCTGCTGCATTGACAGTCCTGCATCCAGGACCAACAGGATTATTTGCTGCAGCTATATTCTGAATCAGATGGGAAGGTGATGAGAGCAACTCAAAATGCACCTTTTCGCTGCCTGATTGATTCCACGACATGTTCATCATGTGCCTGCTTTTGGGTGTTCCTCTTGCAGGCCTTTCGGTGAGTGGCCCAACCATGTGGTTTAATATTCTGTTCACACAGATCACAGAATTTTGGCTGGTCGGAGCTGTTAAGACCGTGCACAAAGGGTAGGACTGATTCCAAGGGGCTTGGCTTCAGCTCGTGCGCTACGCCCCTTACTCGAGTATGTGCCCTTAACTTCAGAATGAAGTCCGGAGAAAGTCCAGTGAAGTCCAAAGGACTTCCAGAGGAGCACAGGAAACTTCGGAAGGACTTTCTGGACGAGTGCGAGAAACTTCCGGAAATTACCATAGAGTTTCGTCCTGACAGGGATATGTGTAATGGCTACTCAGGACTTGTCCTGAGTAGAAGCAAACAGAGGAAAGGCTGCAAGGACAAAGTCCGAAGCAGAATAGGTCCAGAGGACCGTGGGAAATTTCTGGAGGAACTTCCAGAAACTTGGAGGAATGGTGGATCGGAGAATTGGAGGAGCGGAGAACCAGAGGGGTGGAGGAGTGGAGGAGTGGAGGAGTGGAGCTCTGGCCTAGGGAATGCCTCCCTAGGCCTGAGATGGATATTGACTAAGTTGGAGGACTAGAACTGATGTGAGGACTTAGTATGAGATCTAGTGCGAGGACTAATATGATATTCAGACTGAGGAAGTACAGAGACTTTACAGGGTTTATATACTACAAAGGACATAATGGAGAATCAGTCAGCGCAGTGTGAGGCTATGTGAGGCTATGGACAGAGCACATGAAACACCTAACACTAGTGTGTTGGAACATAATAAAATGAAGACGGAAATGAATAAGGTCTGGGAAATGAGTACAGTCGGTTATAGGTATAACTGGATGACCAGAAACAGGTGATTACCATAAGGGGATGGGCGCTAATTTAAGGTTTGAGTTTGAACATGACAGATAGGTTGGATCCGGAGATGTGGATGTCAGATTAGATGTCTGGACATTGGATCTGGGAATTAGGCAGATAGAGAAGCTGAAGGTCTGGAGACATGGATAGGGGATCCGGATGTCCGGATGAGGTGTGGGAACATTGTCGGATGTAGGTCCGGAATACGGGATATGACAGGAGCCCATAGTGTTGACAGATATATATGAGGTATCTACAGAGTTGATATGAGCAAAGAGATTGAGGGATACAGGTGGTGAGAGCACAAATACCAGGAACAACACCTTGCAATATACATTGAAACTCAGTGAATAACCTTACATTATCATACCAATGGGAATTTCAATGACATTTCAACAACAGAGCATTGAAATAGGTTTTGCAAATTTCCGACACATACCACAACACATTACTCAGCATTTTCTTGCAATTCTATAATTGTTTTTTTTTACATTCTTCATATCTTTTCTGTACATTCTGAAACATATTTACAATAACATTTCAACATATCAATAGTTCATGTGTGAACAAAGGCTTAGTCAGGAAACTGAAGGAAGAAAGTTAATAGATGGGAATATTTGAGAAGTATGGTTTCAAACATGAAAAACAATGGTCAAGTCACGATGTGACTGTTCATGATCAATGTCCTCATCCTCTTTCGATCAACACCACCATTGGATAATGAGCCGTTAGCTTGATCCAATGAGGGGAGACCCCATTCACCCCCCCTGGTTCCAAGCCCAGCCAACCCCAAGTACGCTTGATCCCGTGCCGAAAAATGAGAGGGCTTTGGGGGAGGGACAAACAAGAACGAAGGTGCGTGCGTGCCCAAAGCACCAAGGGCCAGAGATCGCGCTAAATCATAGCCACAAAGCAACAGATATGTTGTGGGCATCATGGACGCAAAGGAACAGCAAACCAGTCCACTCACTGATGGCATAGGTGCTTTTGCTTTCACCATTTGGAAACACAAAGGAGGGGGGGAGCTCTCAACAAAAGGACAGTTGGCAATTGAGGGGAGGAAGGAACGAGGACGCAAGGATGGGAGCCTGGCTGCTGAAGAATGAAGAAGGCTATATATATGAGGTATTGCCCATGACATCAGGTTGCTCACTGCCACTAAACTTCACAGATCTGTATTCTTTATTTTGAGTGCAGATCCTCCCCCCAGCACACGGTGATCTGCCCCCATCACAAACTTTGGCCAATTCCAGTAGCAGTGTTGCTCATATGATGCATCAAAGGTATAATGCTTCTATCTTGGCTGCCACTGACAAACAACTCAATGACCAGACAGAGTGGCATGCTGTCACCTCACTTTGCTGCTCTTAAAGCCCTAAGTGATCTGGAGATTGACTGGTGGTGTCACACTGGCTCCAAACATCTTTTTTTGCTCGAGAAATGTCTGGTGGACTGGCATGACTCTCTGCAACACCAGAGGGGGAATGGTTGGACTATGGCCTATCGGTTTGAAAATAATGGTTGCCATGCTCGCCAAGTCAGTCCCTTGGTTCCAAAAAGCAGCTGGACCATGTTTTTCTCAACTTTATTTCTAGTGTTCTCACTTCCTGCAAGGCTGCCATCCTCTTGCCTATGCAGGGAACTCAGAACTTGACCAGAAATGGTGTCATGGGGTCCGTTTAATTACTAATTCATCGAAACTCAGAGGGGGCCTCCCCAAGGTGAGCTCTCTGTCCTTGGCTTCAACCATAACTAACAGAACTCAAACTCAAATGTCCCACCAGCAACAATGGCTGCAGCACTTGATGCTATCCAGTGCTTTCCAGGCCTGTGTAGCATACTCAATCTCCTACTGTCAGAAGCCCTAAAATGGACAACATTACAGAGGATGTCTATGTGAAGCAAGAGACCCTGCTGCCTGAGGGAAATGAAGCTGGCAGCATTGGTACTACCTCAATTGATGCCCCAGACTTTGTGATGTTGCAGTCCATACTCATGGAGGCCTCAAAAGGTGTCACAGAGGGCACTGACAATGAGTACAAGAGGTACGTGGCTGTTCTCTGTCTTTCTCAGGCTCATTGTCAATTTTTACATGGACCTCTCAACAGGTTGATGAACTCATGCCTCTCGTTTCTCATCATCATCCATCTCCTTAGACCGGATGAGGATTTTTTCACCAAGAAGCCAAGGCCTAACTCTCCATGGCTAATCGTTGCGTGGATAATGAATGTGCGAGTGCATGCGCTGTTGGCCAACTGTTCAGTACTGACAATGACATGTCTTGCTGAAGGTGTGACTCAATTAAACTTGTGGCAACGGTCAAGCCAAACAATCATTCTGAATGAACAAAGATTGATTCCACAAAGTACGACTATCCGAAAGTGACTCTACAAACTATGACTCGTAGCAAGGAAAGTGAAGTGAAGTGCAAGTAGTTAGTGAGCCAGATTATATCCTACAGTGTGAAAGTCCAGAATTGTGTAGGCAAGAACAGTAGCGAGATAAGCTATCTAAAATGTAATAAGACTCAAGGCGAGCCGCTACAGAGATATGCATGTAATAATGCATGAGGCGCGCAGCTATACATATTAATCCAACTTTTTGATGTATGAGCCCCTAAGACATAATCAATAACAGATAAATCAAGTGAAAATGCACCAGCAAAGTCAAACGGACATGGTACGGAGGATCGGAAGTGTATGCAGGCCTCAGAAGGGGATGGATGACCTTCAGATGACTTGGATGAGTGCACGGAACTCTCGGAAGGTAAAAGGAGTGTCGAGGAGTATAATGTGAGACACCTATGAGTTTGGCAGGATACACGACCAATGCCAATCCGAGTGCTACAGCACGCTCCACTTTACCTTCATTTATCAGACCGCAATCCGCCGTGAATGTTTGAACATGTATTGCTCATTACACAATCTCACTGAGTCTCTCCTCAATCACCTGCTTGATCGATTGTTCAAATACTTTCAAATATTCATTGACTTCCATGATCACTTGATCTTTCGACTCCTTTCTTGCTCCGACTCCTTTCTCGCTCCACACCTTCCATGACATCACGAGCGGAGTTGGAACACTCTTTATTCTAATCCTCGCCATGGCCTCCAGCTGCACATTCCACAGCATCATGGGCATTCAAAATGCCTCTCCATACTCACTCAACAGGAAATTTTTCTGGAAAATGGATGGATTTGTCCCTCTTGCTCCAGACACAGAAGACTCTGGCAATGCAATGGATCTTCCCATGTCCATCTTCACTTTTGGAGGGAGCACTGCGCTGCCTGAGGACGGTGTTTACTTCATCAACACTCACCTCATTACTACTACTGTGGGCGATGAACCTGTGCTCGAGCTGTATTGTGTTGATGTTTGTCATCTCCTTTTATTTCACTCATGTATTGACTGACTCCTCGTATTTCACAAGCACATCCAGCCTTTGGATAGTGCCCGCACCCTGGACACTGCAAATGTAGTTTACAATTGTTTATTACTGTAACAAATCGACAACTTGAATGACCATCCACAGGCGAGCGGATGGCTTGTATCAAATAATTTGTACAACTGATCACAAGCCAGTAGATAGCTTGCAAAAATTGTTGCAGTTAAGGGAATCTAGAGGGTGTCATATGAGCATTCAGATATTCATAATGGATGACTTCCCGTGGGATTTAGAATTCCAGATACGTGATTCAAACCCTATGTACCAAGGAGCTGCTGTGAAACGTAAGCAACTTCCAACTCCGCATGTCAAACGCACCCTGTTCCAGATTCAGATCATTGTTCTAAATGACATTTCAATGTCCGTGATGTCATCCCACACAAACAAATGTCTGGTAAGTCTGTGCACTACATTCTGCACCATGTGTGCTCCCATTCATGCCAGGGCTTCATTTACAATTTTTCAAGGTGATTACAGCACATTTCCATGTGATGTGGTGAGGATAAGAAAGCACTCAGGCATTGTCACAATGTTTTTCATATGTCCAAGTCTCCCGGATCTCTCTTTTACACTAATCGGTGATCGCTTCAGGTGTATGCTACATTCTGCACCATGTGCAACATGCTATGCACTTGGCGATATAAAGTGTATGTCTACATTCAATACACACATCACTGATTTCTCTCTAACTTCCTACAAAGCCCTGAACTTTTCATTATGCAGCCCGCTGGTCAAACATTCACATACCCCCCCCCCCCCCACTTCCGCCCGGTTATGGCATGATGCCACCAAACTTGTATTCAGCTCCCTTTTTGCCTAGTCAGCCCTATGGTGTGCTGTCAAGGGTACCATATGAACCTGAGCAATCAGATGGCAAGGACGATGATACAATCACACGCCAGGTTCTGTCCCCGCCCTTCACACAACCTGTGCCTGCTCGCAAAGTTGCTGGTAGCCGCCGATAGCCATGACCGTCCCACTTGTCCTGCAAAATCTCTTGAGCTTAAGTTTAAGCAGGTATGTACTCTTATATACTGTGAACTCTGGTACTGATATTCTACTTTAAGTTGGTTCGCACTACAAAGCCAACTGGTGATGCTGAGTGCCCTCCTCACATTGAACGCGCTCACAAAATCGACTTCTGCATGAACGAGAAGGCTGGCACCCGGGATCTCGATGATGATGAATTCACCGATGAAGTTATTAATATCAGGAGTGATGAAGATGAGCCTCAGCGAGCCGGGACACCAAAGGTCTCCGTCAAGACTGAGATATGGGAGCCCGCACTTAGTATTTCCTGTTGTTCTGTTGGCACACCCACTCCTCGACCTCGCACCTCACGCACCTCAGATCTCAATCTTCTAACTTTAATCACTACTTCGCTTGATCCTCAACTTCAAGCTGCTCAAGATGATGAGCACGCTGCTCGGACTTTGCAGACCACTCAACTTGTATCTATGTCCAACCAGTTGCGAGATGCCCACATGACCATTAATTCGCTTCGTAATCAGCTCTTGCAGTGTGAATGTGAGCGTGCTAATGCTGAGCGTCATGCGGACTGTCTAGAGATGCAATTGGAAATGGCTCGACTTGTGCAGAAAGGTCCAGATTGCCGACTGATGCCACATATGCCACGACCACAATACATATGCCACGAAACGAAATATACTGATGGGGGAGCATCTACAATCTGGGTCTCACCTGATGATGAAGACGAGGGTTTTGACTTCAATCAGGACAACTTCTGTGATGTAGTCTCTTGACAGGATTATATCAAAGATCCGAAGACTGGTCGTCACACCATTTGCAGACCCTTCACACCACCTATCCATTCTTCGAGTGCACAATTCAATGTGTCATTCACTCCAACATCTTCCCGTACTGGCACAAACAACTTATCAGTTGTGATCTCACCAACTCATGCTAGCGCTGCAACTCAGCACATTCCACCTACTTTGAGTCATTCAATGACTCAGTCTGTCTTGCCTGCTCATGCAGAAGACTAGGCTCTCAACAGAACTCAAGCGCTTTCAACAGTGCTGCTGGAGCACTCTCAACAGCGCAAAGTTTTCTCAGTTAGAAGGTGATGGGGGTACTGAAATGGGGAAGCTTTACTTGGGAGTTAGAAAAATGAAGGGGGGGTACTTGTTAAATTTCTACTATGTACTTAACAAATGGAATCGAGCTACACAATCATTGCTACGCTGACATGAAACTAACATGTCTTCAAATTGCACCCAAACCATCCTATCCTGCTCATCTTCTTACCAAATTGACATGTATACGCTTTGTATTTGATTAATTCTTACCATCTGAACACGTACATTATTGAGCCGAACACACGATTCGAGCAGATCACGATGCTGCTCGCTGAAGTCAATGTTGAGGGGAATGCGCAGACATCCAAAGGAGACCTGAAGAGCACGCATGCCCCACTCTGCCATTTGACGAAAAGAAAGCAGCTGCCGGTCAAATAAAAACAGCTTCTGTCTTTCGGCAGGATCATTAGGGAGGTGTTGTCCGAACTTGAGTGGGGCTTTGATGCGACCAGCAATCTGATCTGTACCTTGCAGGAAAGCTGTATCAGCAACAAGGTAGTATCCGTCTGGTGTGTTTGCACTGAGTTTGTTGTAGATGGGTCAGGCCACACAGGAGTCATGCCAGCTGCCTGGCGCATTGAGGTGGCATTGAATTATTGAGCCTGCGAGTAGTAGCAATCAGAATGAAAGACTGAGCAGATGATTTGGACAACAGCGCACCATCAGCACTAAATGCAATGACCGAACTGACAAAGTGACTGTGCAACCACCCATTATAAGTTGCGTTCTCAATCTCTTGATCACTGGATGTTTGCACAGGTAAGTTTAGTCCATCAAGTGTGCCGAAGCCCCCTGTCAACAAGGGATGACACGCAACGACAAGTTCATTTAAAACTTGAAATTGATCCCCAGAAGGCCACTGGATGTAGGCTTCAGGGATGTTCTTGAGTGCACAAAGTAGTATGGTGAGGGAAAAATGTAGATAGTGTGAGACGGTTGTTGGGATAAGCACAAAAATTTGCATGAGACTGACCTCTTGCATGGTTGAGTTGAGCCAATGAAGAACAAGGCCTAATGCACCGGCAGCATCCAGGGAACGTCGATAAGCACGAGAGTGAGCAGTGACAGGAATATCATTGCGGGGAATGGGAGTGATATCCCAAAGAGTTGCGAAGCCATGTGAGAGAATGTAGTGAAATGTAGGGATGTCAATGCCCATGGTTGTGATAAATGCATGGTTGTTCTGTCCTGAGTAGAGCGCTTGCCAGGGAGTATTCAGATGTGGATTGGGAAGTAGGTCACTATGAATGAGATATCTTCTTCTTGTTTGCCGGCGTTCAGAGCGTTCAGAGCATGATTGTTCAGCTCCGACAAATATAAGGACACCGAGAATTGCAATGAGCCTTCTCTGTAATTCATCGTTGTCATCGTTGTCATCGTTGTCATCGTTGTCATCAGTCGGAGCGAGAGTTTCACCAGCAATGTTGTATGCCATGTTTAGAGTTTAGGAAGTAGAATTAGATCATGAAGTTTATTTGACTGTGTCCACGGTTTGGAATGAGTTTCTAGATGTAAATTCTACCTTGCCAAACCTCCGAATTTTAAGGTTTAGAATGAGATCTGGATTTCCAAATCCCACGGGAAGTCATCCAATATAAGCAGTTATGGTGTAATGGTTATTACTCATGGCACCAGCCTCACACCAGTGAGCTCTCATGTTTGATTCCAGTTCCTTTTTCCTTTTTTTCAGCCACCACTTAAGTTGATAAAAGTACACTGATGGAGATGCTCACCTTGGAGTGTGGCCTATATGAGTGACCAGTGGTATCCAGACCAAGAAGGTGCAGGAAGAATACCACTTTGTTGGCATGTAATTCTAAATCAAGCAAATTGTTTGATGATGCATTCTGAAACAATGTCTGAAGTTGGTCCAAAACTCAGGTATCTAGAGCAGTGGCATCTATCTGGTTGGTTTGGTTTAATAGCATGACTGCAGTAGTTCTGGATGTTCGTGCCTTTTGTAAAGTCTTCATCTTCCTCATTGTAGCTCCAAGTGTCAACTTTTCCAGGTGTTGCACCTTGGGCAAACATTGGTAATATGTCTGGGGAGCTGAAGGAGAAAGTGCGACTAGATTGATTGAAGATGGAGTCAAAGTGAACCTGGAGAAGGAATGAGATATTGCTTGTGGTGTCTGTTGCAATGATACTGACTGAATTCATTTTCCAACCCTCTCATGAGTCTTGTCAGTATATAATAACAAGAAATTGACTCTTTACACAGCAGATATATCCTCATACATACCCCCTTGTATTTTCTTAAGTCAGCCCAATATTACTGACATATCGGGCAGTGGCATACCAATGATTGTGACATGTCCAGGTCAACTTTCTGTTGGTACTCAAGTGTGCAACAATCCAAACACCCCTTGTGTTCGAATAATATCATGCAAACAAGGCACTACAATCTTTGGTGAGGAAGCTGAAGAATGAAAGAGAACACGTCCACACCAAATAGAAGGTCTGCGCATAGACCGTCTCCTGATAGAAATTGTTGGTTGAGCAGTTGGTGCTATGGAAGGTGAAGGTATACTTGCCCACAATGAGAACAATCCATTTTTCTTCCCCAGAGCCAGCCCTGCAAGGAAGTATGCCATGGACAACTGGGCTAGTGAAGTAGCAGTCAAAAACAGAAGCAATGAATACGACGTGGAAGATGAGTCCTAGTGTTAGCAACTTGAGAACATTTCTATGTGATGACACTGTCATTTGTATGCTTGAACAGAAGCCACCGATGCAAGATCTAGCCTCGGGCAAGTATATAATGTATTCGAGGACCGGTGACAAAGCGTGTGAATAACATGCCTTTTCAAGATGCGGCACCTCTGCCTGTCCTCGTCAACCTGTTAGAACCCATTGATATCGCCAAACATGGGCTACAAAACGTATACATCGTTCGGACTCCCGACGTTCCTTATCATCATAATTGCTTTGTATTTGCTGTTTACAGGTATGCTAGAAGTTATTTTATTTGTTCCGCAGCACTTGAACACGTTTCGAACAGGTTCTGGAGAAGTGTTCGATGTTGGTCGGTTTCTCGAGGAAACCAGCCCGTTCGTCTGGGGTTCACTCGGAATTGGACTTTGCATAGGCTTGAGTGTTTTTGGAGCAGGATGGTGAGTTCGTATGGTTTCATTCTTGTTTAATAGCATTGACGTTGTTTTGAAGGGGAATATTTTTGACCGGGGCATCGATACTGGGTGGAGGAGTAAGGACTCCAAGAATCAGTACAAAGAATCTGATCAGGTGCGTTATTATATATACACCGTGCACAGAAGTGACTGAGTGCTGCTCATTGTCAGCATCATTTTCTGCGAGGTGGTTGCAATCTACGGAGTGGTGCGCATTCGTTCCCTCGAGTTTCTGTATCATACTTACCCCATAATAACAGATCATGGGTATCGTATACTCATCCAAACTACAACCGGTGCCCGAAGCGCTGCTGTATACGAAAGATAACTACTTCACCGGTACATATTTCCTCTTCGTTATTTCATTGAATACTACTTATCAAGCTACAGGATATGCACTATTCTTTGGCGGGCTCACTGTTGGATTGTGTAATCTTCTTTGTGGCCTTTGTGTCGGTATCGCCGGCAGCACTGCTGCGCTCGCTGATGCAGCTGATTCTACGCTGTTTGTGAAGGTACTCGTAGTGGAAGTGTTTGGAAGCGTACTGGGACTTTTTGGACTCATAAGTGAGTGGAATCATATGTTTCATTATGCAATGCACTGACCCTACCGAAGTCGGCCTTCTGATGATCGGGAATGCGAAGGAGTTCTTACCAGGATCGCCTGCAGTGTCTGCCGTCTCATGACTTCAGTATCTAGAGCAGACCCTAGCTTCCAGACACTGAATCGTAACGGTGCTTGCGTACCAGTCCCCTCCGATTTCTCGACTTGTATATTTTGCTTCTGTCCCTAGAAATATACTAAGTATCTGTCACAAATCTTGCAGCCCTCCAGCTGGCTAAACAGCATTCGATCTCATCGTCTCGGACCAGTTGACTTCTTTGGGCGAACACCATTTGAACGGTTTCGTCTCAATTCTGCCGTATGTCCAAAACGCCACCTTCTGTAGAGTATAAAACAGACAGCACTAACAATCAAGTCGCCAACGACCTGTTCTCTACAAGTAAAATCAATTCATCGTGCTTATCCGCTTTTCTACTGCTTTCGTTGTGCTCCTCGCGTCAAATCTCATCATATTATTATACGACGTCCGCAGATGCCTCGTCGTAGTGTTAAGCCCGATGACACTGACAAGGCACCGTCGGTAAGTCTCTCCTTCAAATTTTATTGTCGTAGTGTCGAGCCTCGGACGACTAGAACTCATAAGCCTCAGGCCTGAGGCCCCTATCATCGGCATATCGTACACGGAGCAACTGCTGTGCGGGATCGATCCCTTATGCAGAATCACTTACAAGGAATCTCAAATATAGTATAAGTAGTGCTAGCAAGGATACGCGACAATTCGAGATGCCAGGCGCAATGCCAGTTGTGTGTTTGAATCTGCGTGTTTATCGAACTTGACACTGGGACATGTACTTGCAGGTATGAATGTTCAAATGCTGCAGGCATAATCGTTGAGTACAGGCGGAATTGATATAGAGTGAAACTCACCTTCTATCCATCCAAATCATGATAATTAGTACTGGAAGACAACAAGTGACATGCCTTCTTTGCCCAGCCTCAGCGGTCACAAATATAATCACCGCAGCACATGCGCCCCATTACAATATACAACAGCATTCTGAATTATTCAAATAAACATTGGCTGAAAAGTCTTTTGATAGGCATCTGTCCAATTGAGCTGCGTCCAATAGATCCGCATCGAAAATGTCTTCAGATCGTCACCACCGCAACCATTCACCATACATATTTGGTCTTTCTCCACGAATATAGGCCTCAAACGTTCGTTTTAGCACCGTTGCCCAGTCCAAATCGCGCTTGTCATCGGTAATTTTGTCGCTCCAATCATCAGGATCTGCATGAGGGTTGGCAGCAGCGCGCGCTGCCCTTTCACCACCTGCAAATTTCTGCCCCAAGTCCGGCCAATTCCTTGCAGGGTCAAACGGTTTCCACCTTTCATAAAGATCTCAACAAAGGTGTGATATGAAAAAAAAACTACTCACCAGAAATTATGAAAGTGATACGAGAATGCTCCCCTGAAGAACCCCTCAAATCCGACAACCTGCGGTGCAGCACTCTGCACTTCTGGAGTGTCAAAGAAATCAGCAAACCTACGTGGTGATCGTTAGTAAGTTACAATGACAACCATCTTCAGGAACATACCCGGCGAAAAAGGGGTATGTTGGCCTTTCCAATTGATAACCTTCCGTGTTTAGCCACGCTGGGTCGAATAGCGCGTCCGGAACGCGTAACAAAAGGTTCTCCAGGTGTGCCTCTTTAAGGTACTTAGAGACAGCGACAGGATGAAAATCGAAACCGTTCTTCAATGCGGTGCGGAAGAGGAAAGAACCAAGGGCAGAACCCTTGTTGAGATGGAGTACAGCAGTGTTGTAGTCTTCATGATAGGACCACCGGTAAGCAAAAGCACCTTTCCATCCCCAAAGCTCCTCCCAGTCCCTCAAGAAGATGGTATCAGCATCGAGGTAGATCCCTCCATAGCGATGAGTGACGATGAAACGCGCCATGTCAGACAAAATCACAGAAAGCCTGTCATAAGTCGCTTCCGATTTCGAACCAAGGCGATGAACCATGTCACCAGTTTTAGATAAGGCAGTACTAGAGTTCCCTGCAGGCTGCTCAGCAGGTACGCTCACAGTTACACCCCCTGAATTGAAGAGTGTGTCCATTTTCCTCCACTCGTCTCTCAGCTCCAGGTTGCTATCAAGCTGTTCCGTCGTGTTCCATAATCTGAATTTGATCACATTCTTGAAACGCGGATGAAGGAAAGGTGCCGCCCATGGATTCGTTTTCAGTGCGTCGTACATATCTGTGAGCGCGGAGGGATTTGGAACAGCCGCTGCAGAGCCAGGATTAATCCACAACCAGATCTGTGGATGACAAGCGTCGAGGTCTTGCCCCGGTTCAAGATGGAGGCCAAGATTCTGGGTGAAGAGAAAAGATAATAGCGCGACATATGGTTTCTCGTTGAATGGACCTGCCCAAAACATATGGAACAGGCGAAGGTTTTCCGGATCACAAGCAGTCGAACGGTTTGAACCCACGCTTGGTTGCTCGGGGGGAGGGAGTTCTAGTGGACGTTCCCAGTGAACATTCCTTTTCTTTATCAATCCCGCATTGGAAATTTGGCGTCCAGTAGGGTATGGCCCAGCTGGCACTATAGGTGCAGCCTGCGTAGCGCGAGGAGGAATCTCTTCCTCTAGTCGATCCTCTTCCATAAAAGCGTATTTCCATCCATCAACTGATCCTCGTCGAAGTCTTCGACCATTATCCAAACCAGCGGAGACGCGCAGAAATTCCAAGCAATCACGGACGTACTACAGAACAACGTGAATATACGAGTAAGATCTCCGCGAATGACACACCTTGCCCTCTGAAAAATTGCACTGCTCTAGAATGATATCTAAATCTGCAATGCTTCCGGATATCGGTCTGGGCGGATATGCAGCGCCGATAGACTGCTTCTGATTTTCAAGATATGTCCTACGGGGACCAACTCCCCGTGTAATAGTGGTCACTGGCCCTGGCGGGGGCGTAAAGGGTGAAATGAGTGTGTGTGCCTTTGCTGGAGGCAAGGCTGGATTCAAAATAGCGGAGGTGAAACCAATCTGCTCGGGTACTCAAAGCACGTCAGCTCCATCTGGCATAAGACCCAAAAGCACGTTGTCACTTACTCTTCCCATTGCTGGGGTAATGTCCGCTCTCGATCTCCCACTTCCAAATGTGTTGCAAGTTCTCTCTGCCGAACACGAGGGTTGAATCCCTGAACGGAGGTGTCCAGTGTGACTCTTCGGTACCCAACAACATGAGGACGATCACTGCCATAGCACAGACTACAGCAAGGAAAGCAACACATCGACAGACGAAAACTCTTCGTCGACCAACTCGGGCTAATCTGGAACGAGGCGCGGGGCTCAGGGACTGGAGACGTATTCGGCGCGTTGATCCTGTAATAGGCATGAGCCATTGCCTACCACTGGACTGGAGATCCAATTTTTCGCGAACAGCAGAGGAATAAGAAGGAAGGTGGGGATCATAGAAGGGCCGGTCGCGAGTAGTACCACGCTGAAATGCAGTGAAATAACGAGCTGCCATCCCGTTCAGGGAGTAATTTTGAGTTTTGTGGGATAGTCAAGGAAGAAATGAAGGAAGGATGAGAACCACAGGCCTCAGTACGTCAATACTTTCTATGATAGTGGAGTAAAGAAAGTGGGCCCATCAGGTCATCGCGTACAATTAAGTAACTTGCAAGGAAGATATTTTACCGTTATGAATTGAGAAAGTTGTCATTCTACCACGAAGATGCGCAGCTGATGGCAGAAGACATGAATCTACTCACGCAAACATCCAATCGCCGTTAACCAGAGTTTTCAGTCTCGAGCCATAGAAACCCCATAATCGTACATTGTTAGACGCATGATAAACCCCCCTTAATACATGCTACAGTATCTTTACAGCAAAGTCCACAGTCTCGACAGTCAACTTCAATCATCTAGTTTGCTCCTAGGGATTGCAGCTCAAAATCAGCAGGGTCAGTAGGGACCGACAAGATGCGCATGGTGTTGGTGTGGCCAAGACCTCCCTTCCAGCCTTGCACAGCGATGACGGTAGTTCCCGTCTTAATGATGTTCAACGCAAGCGCGTTCTTCAAGCCGAACCGGATAC